CGTCCTTTTCTCAAGGGGGAGTTTTGCCCTCGCCCCCCCCCCTCCGCTTCGCTTGCACCTCTGCCCGTGAACTCTTTTTGTTTTTGTTTTTGCTTTTCATTCGGTTATTCTTTTGGTCCCATTTTTATCGGGTTTCACTCGCCTCCCTCCCCCCGCTCCCCCGCTCAGGACTTGCACGTGCGGGCGAGCTCCGCCGCGACGCAGTCGAGGAAGCCCTCCGTCGTCTCGTAGTGGGACCGCTGCAGCTTCTCCTGCGCGTGGATGCAGAGCGCGAGGTCCTTCGTCATGTGCCCCGCCTCAACGGTGCGGATGACCGCAGCCTCGAGGGTGGCGGCGAAGTCGACGAGGGCCGCGTTGCCGTCCAGCTTCCCGCGCTGCGCCAGCCCGCGCGTCCAGGCGAAGATGGAGGCGATGGAGTTGGTGCTCGTCTCCTTGCCCTTCTGGAACTCGCGGTAGTGGCGCGTGACGGTGCCGTGGGCGGCCTCCGCCTCGATCGTCTTGCCGTCCGGGCAAAACAGCACGGAGGTCATGAGCCCCAGGGAGCCAAAGCCCTGCGCCACCACGTCGCTCTGGACGTCACCGTCGTAGTTCTTGCACGCCCACACGAAGCCGCCCTGCCCCTTGATCATCTGCGCCACCTGGTCGTCGATCAGGCGGTGGCAGTAGCTCAGCTTCAGCTGCTCGAACTGCTCCTTGTACTTGGCGTCGTAGAGGCGCTGGAAGGACTCCAGGAACATGCCGTCGTACTTCTTCAGGATGGTGTTCTTCGTGGAGAGCACGAGGGGAAGCCTGCGCATGAGGGCAAACTCAAAGCAGCTCTCGGCAAACTCCTCTATGCTCTCGCGGGTGTTGTACATGGCGAGCCCCACCCCCTCGCTCTTGAAGTTGTAGACCTCGCGCACCGTCGGGGTGCCGCCGGGCGGGGTGTGCACAAGCTCCAGCCGGCCCGGCGGAAACACGGCATCCGTCGCCTTGTACTGGTCCCCAAAGGCATGGCGGCCCACGATGATCGGCTCGCGCCAGTTTGGCAACACACGGGGAATATTTTTTATAAGGATTGGCTCGCGAAAGACGGTGCCGCCAAGGATATTACGAATTGTCCCGTTCGGGCTCTTCCACATCTTCTTTAGGTCAAACTCCTTTACCCGCGCCTCGTCCGGGGTTATGGTGGCGCACTTAATTCCGACGTTGTGGCGCAAAACGGCCTCCGCCGCCTGCACTGTCACCTTGTCGTTGGTGGCGTCACGGTTGGTGATGCTGAGGTCGTAGTACTCTATCGGGACGTCCACGTAGGGGAGAATGAGCCTCTCCTTGATGAGGGACCAAATGATGCGCGTCATCTCGTCCCCGTCCATGTCGACCACCTTGCCCGTGACCTTGATGCGCTCCAGGCGGGGCCGCGTCGTGCTCATCTGACACGCCGCAGCCGCGGCGGCGGCGGTGAGTGTGGCTCGGCAGGCTACACGGCGAAACATGAATTGCCGCTTCTGTTGGCGGTGCACTGTGGGTGCGTGTAGGTGTGTCGCTTCCTGTAGGCCTGCGCCCCACCGCCGGTGATGCAGCAGCGCGACGGCGAGATGGAAAGGACAGAGGAGGCGATAGAGAGGCGGAAGCAGGGCGACCCTCAAAGGCGTCCGTGCATCCCACGTACGTTGTGCGCACCGCAGAAGAACCCCGCGCCCCCGCACCACACACACTCACAGTGAGAGAGAGAGACACACACACGATTGCACCTGCACACGTGCACAGAGAGAGAGAGAGAGAGAGAGAGAAATATATATAACTTGTACATGTTTGGCACGCGCGCATGAGCATTACGCTTGGGGCGGAAGCAAACACACTGGGGCTGGCGGAGTCCGTCCTTCACCTTCCCCGCCGTCCTGCGGAGGGAAAAAGCAACGACGAAGCGGTGATGACTCTGCGCGGCTCGGCTTCCCCTGCATGGGCACGACGAGCGCGCACTTCCTCCCAGACCAGCTGCTACAACCTCTAGGCGCATATTCGTATGTACATGACGGGCGGGGCGTAAGGCAATGCAAAAAAAAAAAATGAAAAGAAGAAGTGTGGAAGAAAAAAGAGAACATGCATGCGACTCCTTTCCTTGGACGCATGCATTTGGCCTTCGTCCCCCGCCCTTCTCCTCCTCGTTCGCTCCATTTCTGCTTCACCCGCACTGCCGCACACCGCCGCCCTCCTCCTTTTTTTTCTCGTTGCGCTCACTGTGGGCGCTGCGCCCGAGTCCCGCGGGTGGCGGGGGCGATGGACCTGCCGACGACGCCCATCTGCCAGTCCGGCATCGCCGACCGCAGCTGCTCGTTCAGCCGGCGCGCCGCAAGGGTGGCGGGGGAGGAAAACAAATCCACGCGCGCGAGCATCCGCCGAACAAACGCGTTGCCGATGTTGCGGGTGACGTTCGCGCCGCCCCCGTCGGCGTAGGAGCAGGCGGGCAGGAAGACGACGGCGTCGCCCGCCTCCGGCTCCACCCCGCGCAGCATCGGAAACAGCTGCTCCGCCGGCACGCCGTACACCCACGAGGAGTACGCCTCCAGCGAGCCCTGGCGGTGCGGCAGGGGCCCGCGCGTGTTACCGTCGGCACTGGGCGAGACTGGCGGCATGGAGGCCGCCGCGACTGGGATGGCGAAGCCGGGAATCACCGCCGTCGCGCCCGCAGGAAGCCTCTCGCCCCCCTGGAGTCGCGAGAAGGCGAGGCGGTACGACATGATACGGTCCGCTAGCTCCTCTGGGGTGAAGGGGGAGTAGTCCACCTCCTCCAACGCCTCGCGAGGGACGCCGTGTCTGGCGGGGAAGCGGCCTCTGCCACGCACGAACGCGGCGCCCGGCGGCGGCGGCGGCGGCGGTTCAAGCGGCGGCGGCAGGCTGCTGGAAACTCCGTGCACCGACTGGAACTGGGCCTGCTGCTCGCGTGACAGCCCCCGCGCCTCCACCGGCGGCAGGACGCCCCGCTCCTCCTCCTCCTCCTCGGCGTCGCGGCGCTGCATGCGCAGCAGCCGCCTCGAGACCTCCGTCGCCACGTCGCCATTCGGCTCCAGCCGAAAGACGTTTTGGTGGCGCAGCGAGCGAAAACGCAGCACCGAGCGCAGCTGCCCTGGCGGAACGTTGCAGCGGTACGCGGAGGGCGATAGGACACGCCGCAGCGGTGCACGACCCGCCGTCGGTGTCACCGCCTCGCTCCCACCACCCCCGCCGCTTCCACCGCTGTCGCTGCTGCTGCTGCTGCCGGGGCGGTTCCGCGCCGCGCGCGCCCGCCGGGATCTCTCCAGCCTCTCCCGCATGAGCTTTTGCCGGTGCTTGCGCAGGAGCTCCGTCAGCTCCCTTCCACGCTCCTTTCGCGCGGCCTCAATGCTCACCAGCACATCCCGCACCCACTGCGAGGCGTTGGGGTCCTCCTGCAGCGCCGCGGCGGCCTCCGCGTCGCCACTATCGAGCAGGTCCAGCAGCCACGCGGGAATCTCCTCCGCGGTGACGTCCTGCCGGTTCAGCAGCCTCGCCACCTCCTCCGGCGCCAGCAGTTCGCCCGGGCCACGGAAAGTCACACTGCTGCTGCTGCGGTGACGACGGCGCGGGGTCGAGGTGTCAAGAAACCCGCTCACCGAGCGCGGGCTGTCCGAGAGGGACCGGCTCGAGCGGCGCCCGCGAAAGCTGGGACGCCGCTCACGCTGCGGCGTCGAGGAAGCCTGCGACAGGCTCTCGTCGTCGCCAAGCAGCGCCGCGAGGCGCGCGAGGAGGGCCGTGTCGCTGGAGATTAAAAAGTTGGCGCCCACCTTGCCGCCTTGGCGCGACAACGTTTTTACAATCTGCCCCTCCGACTCCTCCGCCTCCTCCTGCAGGAGGGACCGCAGCGCGGCGTCGTAGCCACCCACAAGCCGCAGGAAACGCATCAGAGTCTGGTGGTGGTCCAGGCACAACTCGAGCCCAAGCGTCCGCATGGATTCCTCTTCCGCGGCGCGGCGCGGGTCCATCACGGCGTCGGGAGGCAGCACCATTTGGGTGGGCTGTAGGGCAACCTTGCCCTCCGGAACGCTATACGGCTTCAACCGTGGCTTGCCCAGGCTTTGCTCCTCCTCGTCTCGTTTCTCCTGCTGCGGTCGTCTGAGGCCCTGCGAAGGGACTTCAAGGTCCGGATGCGACCCTCCCTGCGCGGCGGCACGCCTCGCCCCCCCTTCACCACCGCCGCCACTGTCGTAGCTGTCCACGAGGTCGTTTTCCTCATACGTCGTGGCGACGCCAGGGTGCCCGCCCGCCTCCCTCGTGCCGTCAGTTGCTGCCTGCTCCACTCCGGCTCGCGGCAAGCGGCGCAGTTGTTGCTCCGTCGCATACGCGGCGAGTACCGCCTGTGAGTATGCGTTGGCCTCCTCCCCACGCTTGAGAACATCCTCCGCGGTCTTTACGGCCTCCAAGTGGGCCCGCCGCAGGGTGTCGACGGAGCCGTCAAACCTGCCGTGCGTCGCGGCTTCCACCTCCTGCAACGTCTTTTTCAGCCCTTTGGCTCCCAGCTGCTGCGCCGCAAGCCTCCGCGCCACCACACGCGCCCTTGAGCGCGCCTGTTCCGCTGCTTCCTCGTCGCCGCACGCCTTCGCCGCAGCGATGGTGCTAAAAATTTCTTCCAACTTCGTCAAATCATCCTTCTCTTTCAATGGCTCACGCGCGTGTCCTTTTTGCGTCACCGGCCGAGGCCCCTGCGTGTGCGGAGCCTCTGGACGTGCCTGCGACCTCCCCCACGGTTCCTGCATCGCCGCCTTGGGCCGCCCCGGAGCGGCCCGAGCAGGTGACTTCGTCCCCGCTTCCCACTGCCGATGTTTGGGCTGCGCCTGCGGCTCCACGCGCTGCACGCCCCCCGCCGGTGCTATGCTCCGCTCGTCCGGGGCGGAGGCGGTGCTGGGGGGTTTCGTGGACACCGTCGACCAGCCGGCTTCGACCCACGAGGAGTCGCGGCGGGGCGCAGCCGGTGCGCCCTGCTTCCCGCGCCTTGCGTTCGTGACGCGGCCGCCGCTCTCCCCACGGCGTTGCCCGCCGCCGCCGCCGTCGTCGTCATCATCCGAGGACTCAGCTGCCCGCTTCTTTTTTTTCCTGCTCCTTCCCTCCCTTTTCCCTTTCTGGACCTGCGCCTCCAGCTCTGCGATGCGATGCCGCTGCGTGGAGATCGTTCTGAGGGTCTCGAGAAGGCGCTCCCCCAGCCGCGTACTCTTCTCCTCCATCCGATGCGACAGGTCCGACTCGCTTGGGCGCGGCCTCGCGTCTCTGCCCTCGTACTGCCGCTGCTGCTCTCCCGTCGGAGGCGGCGTCTCACTCCGCGGGTTCGTCGTGTCCTCCTCCCCCGGATTTATCGAAAACAACCACGAGGGGGTGGAGGTTTGTGTCCTGTCGCCAGCACGATCCGTTTGAAAGCCTCCCAGGGAGTACATGCGCTGCAGCATCGCTGCTGCGGCGTCGGAGGAGAAGTCTTGGGTGTCCTCCTCCGAACCCGCCGTGCCGATCCCCTCCACCGCGGCGTGCGGCTCCCGCCCGCCCTTGTCCTCCCGCTCCTGCTTCTTCCTCTCCCGCTGCCGCAGCTTTTGCTGCGTTTCGTACGCCAAGAGCTTTTCCGTGACGGACAGGAGCCGCTGCCGCAGAATGATGATCTGCTGCTCCTTCGAGATGGAGGTGAAGTTGTCCAGGGCGGTGTCTTCGAAGGAGATGGAGGGGCGCGAGGAGATGGTGGCGAAGTTTGTGTTGGAGAAGACCACCTCCTGCAGGTGGGTGACCTCCTCCCTGAGGAGGAAGACGGTGCGCTCGCTCCGCTCCAGCTCCGTCAGCAGCCGTAGGACCTCCTCCTTGTAGGCGGCGACAACGGCCGTCTCCACCTCGTCCTTCTCCTCCAGGAGCACGTCCTCGTAGAGCCTCTCGCCCTCCTCGCCCTCCTCTCTTCCGCTGCTCATGGTGCCGGCGTGGAGGTCGCGCTGCGAGGCCGACGGACGAAACAAACGCTTCGCGACGTGCTTGACGCTGCTCGCCGGAGACATGACCTGCGACAGGACGTCCTTCACGCCAAAAATGGAGTCGAGCTGCTGCGTGCGTTGCTGCTGCGGATGTGCGCTGCCGACGGCGCTGCGCACGCTCATCATCGAGAGCTCCGGCGGGTGCAGCATCACGCTCGAGGCCTGCGTCTGGGACATGTGCTTGTTTTGCAGGGCCCGCAGGATGCCGAGATCGTCGGCGCTGTTGCAGCTGCCGTCGCGGGCCTCGAGACCGGCGCGGAGACTGTCCCGCAGCCCCGCTTCGTCGTTCTCGAGGAGGATCTGCCGCATGCCGCGGTAGTTCCCCACCACCCCCCTGGCGCGCATGTCGCTGCACCAGCGCCCGGTCGCCGACATGAACAGCTCGGTGAAGAAGTTGACGACGGCGTGGTCGAAGCAGCGGCGCAGCACCAAGTCGTAGCCGAGGCCGTACGCCTCCGCCACGGTAATGGTGTGCTTCGGCAGGCGCAGCATCCCGGGAGTGTGGCTGTCGTAGTTCTCGTGCAGCATCAGGGCAATGATGAGGCCCAGGTTGTGCTCGCGGTCGTAGAAGCGCAGGTGCCCGACGATGTCGCGGAAGGGCTCGTGGGTGCAGACGTCAACCACAACCAGCCGCGCCACCATGTCGTCCGGCGGCGGGTTCAGCGCCGGCTCCTCCCCCTCCGCGCTGCAGACGGAGGAGGCGGCGCTCGCCGTCTCCGCCGCCTCCCCCGTTTCGTCCGCCCGGATTTGTCCGCCCCGGCCGTCCGTCGCGCGGGCGGCGGACTGCGAGCCGCGCGTGAAGGACTTCGTGCGCGGCGGAGACGCCGCCGCCACCGCGCGCCCGACGGTGAAGCCGCTTTTCCGCGCCCGCAGGATTTGCTGCTGAATGACGGCGGTCGCCTCGGTAAGCGTCTGCGCCTCCGTGACCCTCCAGCGGTGCATGGCGAGCTGCGAGGCCATGATCGCCATCGTGAGCGCGTTGGCGGAGAGCACCACGACGTGCGCCGTGCCGCCGCGCCGGGGTATCTTCCGCTGCGTCTCCACCAGCGCGTCCATCTGCATGATGCGGTCCTCGCGGGTGCTGGCGCCGTACATCAGCGCCTCCGCCAGCCCGTCGCTCCCGAGCAGCCGCTCGTACTCCCCGTCCCGCCGCAACTCCCGCAGCCGCTCCTGCCGCTCCGCGTCGTCGTCGTCGTCGTCGTCGGCAAATCGCAGCACGGAGGCGCGGCCGCCGGCAAGCGTCGCGGTCGACATATTTCCAGCCGGGCACCCGCCTCGCGAAGGCCCGCGTCTGTGTGCGTGTGTGTGTGTGGAGGACTGACTTGCGTGTATTCCTCGCCTCCCTCCTACTCGCGCTGGAGCAAAGAAGGTGAGTGGCAGAGATAGATAGAGAGGGAGAGAGAGAGAGAGAGAGCACGCAAGACCGCAAACACAAACATAAACAAAGACGAGGAGGAAAGCAATCCATGCATGCATGTCGCTGACGAGGTTGCCCCTTTTATTTGCCGAACGAAGCGGCTAACAAACAAACAAAAAAAAGGCGGCGGCAGCAGCAGCAGGGAAGAAGCACAATCGCAATACTGAAAGACAGCGTCCTTGTTGATTTCTAGGCACCACTGCCGTCACTTTTTTTTTAATTTATCCTCTTTGCTTTCCTTTCGGCGTCTCCTCGCATTCACACCCACTTCCAGGCACACGCGAGTGTATGTGTCCGTGGGTGTGCAAGATTTACTGCGCCGTGCGCTACGCCCCCGTTACCGTGTCAGTAGTTACTGATGCCTGCAGGCCGGGGGCGTCACGAGCGTGCCGCCGTGCGCGGCCGCCGCGGAAGGCGGGCCGGCGGAGATTTCCTCCCCCGCCTCCAGCCACGCCGCCGGTGGCCCCGGCGCGGCGTCGTCCTTCACAAACGCGAAGCAGACGCCGCGCACCCTGCCGGTCGACGCCCCCACCGCGGCCGTCGACGCCCCGCCAGCGAGCACCACGACGAGGCTGTTGTGCGGCGCCGCGCGGACGATTTGCATGACGCGCCGATTCGTCTCCTCCACGCGCTCGAGCTGCCGCTCCTCCCACGGCCGGCCGTCGCCTTCCGCGCCGCCCGGCTGCTGCTGCGGCTCAACCGCCTCGCTGAGCTGCACCCAAGTGAGGGCGTAGCACGACGGCACGCCGTCCGCCGTGCGCTGCCGGCAGTGCTCGCGTCGCTGCAGGCAGCGCACCGCCTTCCGCACCGCGTCCCTGTCGTGTCGCACCTGCACCGCATTCAGCCGACCGCCGCCCCGGGCATCCGCGCCGCTGGGAGTCAGCTCGCGCAGGACGCATGCGTCATCAAACAGATTCAGCTCCACTTCAAGCGACGGCGACGACGACGTCGAGGCGGATGGCGCGGACGCCGACGGCCCGGAATGTGCCTCGTCCTGCCTCGCCTCTCCCTCGTCGGCGCCTGCGCCCGCCGTCGCTGCGGGAGTGACCGCGCCCTGCATGAGCCGCAGCACGCTCACGCGCGCCCGGACCCCAAACCCCGGGCCGTGCTTTAGCTTTAGGCACACAAGCTCCGCGCTGACTCTGGCGTCCTCCTCGCTGTCGTGGGATCCTTGCTGGATTCTCTTCTGCAGGTACCGCAGCGCCAGGTACCGCAGTGCATTTTTGTGGGGCAGCCCCGCTGGGTGCGGAAACAAGTGCGCCGTGTCCAGCAGATGGCAGTTGGGCAGCATCTTACACGCCTTGAAGTCGTTCTCCAGGCTGTGGCCCACGACAAACGAGTCGGTGTCGATGTGCCGCCTCAGTTCCCGCTGGCAGTCCTGCAGCGTCGTCGTCACGCCGTCGAGCATCGCCTCGTCGACGCCGCTGTAGCGGGTGATGTAATCCACCACCGGCGCCGCCGGCTTCACGAGGGTGTCAAGCACCACAGCGCCGGCTCGCACGTCCAGCAGCGTGAGACGCGCCAGCGCACTCACGCCGTTGGCGACGAGCACCATCTCGCAGTCCATCGCAAAGACGCGCGGCTCCCGCCCCTCCGCCTCCGCCGCGTCCTTCGACGAGCTCGGGGCCTCAAACGAGCTCCACTCATCCGCCTCATCGCGGGCGGGGGGCGGGCTGACGACAAACCCGAGGCCCTCCAGCTCCGCCCGGTCCCTCTCAAGGGAGAGGGCGTACTGCAGCAGCGTCGCGCGGTTGCCCCAGAGCGCGGGGTCGCCGTTGGCAGCGGCAGGCGCCGTGTCGGGCGGCGTCTTGTTGCCGTGAATCGCTAAGGCGCGGTTAAATAAATTCCCCACACCGTGCGCCCTCGACGAGGCGGCGGCGGCTGCGGGGGGACCGTCGACGCCAACTGCGCAGCACGCACGCGACGCCGTGCCTTTTTCTCCCCCCTCGCCCCCGGCATCTGCGCCGTGCTCGGCGGGACGCTGCCGGCGCCGGTCGCCGCCGGGGGCCTTCGGCGCGTCGTTTCGCCAGAAGACCTCCCGCTCCAGCGTGTTCCTGGCGTCCGGGAGAAGCAACGGGGCGAACTGCACGCCGCACTCCCTGCGCGCCCAACACCGCTGCGCACGTATGGGGGCCAGCATGGCGCGGCCAACGCGCTCCGCACCCCGCTGCTGCTGCTGTTGGGCCTCCGCCTCGTCGTCGTCGCCGACGTCGTCCGCGGCGGGGTGGCCGGCGCCGGCCACTATCATCTCGTCGTGCGTCCACCCATTCACGTAAACCACCACCACGTCCCGCAGCCTCGATTTGTTCTTGAGAAAAAAAACCCGCGGCCCCTCAATCAACGGCACCGCGACCGGCACGGACCACAACAGCAAGTCCCCCAAATCACGCGGGAAGAGGAGCTCGCCTCGGTGCCGCTGCCGCTCGAGCTGAAAGTGGATCTCCACCGCGTACAAGGCGTCCGCAAGGGCGGCTGGGCCCGCGCCATTGCCACTACGATCCTCCGTCCCGTCACCACGCCCACGGTGCTCGCTGGTGGAGGGCGGCAGCGGGGGGCCGGGGTGTGTGCTGGCAATGTGGCGCCCACGTGCCTCCAGCGCGTGCGTCAACGCCGGGGAGGAGGTGGCCGACGGCGTGCGATGCCGCTTCGAACGTCGCGTGGGCATGTCTCCCTCCGACTGCTGCGGCCTATCAACGGAGTGCGAGTGTGTGCGTGCGTGTGTGTGTGCGTGTGGCAGCTTTTGTTTCCACTACGAGCTGCCAGAGACTTTCGAGGGGAAATCAAACGAAAAAAAAAAGACACAAATACAAGTCAAAGCAAAAAAGGCCCAACTCCAACTCCCGCAAGTCTGCGCGGCAACCAGTTCCCGCTTCTGTGCCGCTGCCGCCCGCGGAGGACCTCCCCGCCCAGCGAGCGCATGCATCCACGCCAGAAAAAACAAAACAAAACAAAAGAAAACAAATAACTTCAGTAAATAACGTTCGCGTGGCGGCGGCAGTCGTCAGGGGTTGTGGTGGCGCGGGGGGCGCAGTGAGCCTCGTTTGCACCTGCACACACACACACACACACACACCGAGGGAGGAAGCGATGGTGCCTCACTTGGCGCCGCATTGTCCCCATCACAGAGGGGCGCTGTGTGGTTTGCCCGTCCGTCGCCGTGGGCCCTCAACTCGCGGGAGCGCCGCTTCCCCCGCCAAGACGCAGCCAAACCTCACGGGCATTCAACGGGGTGGAACTGGCCGCGGTGAGCAACAACAACAACAACAAAAAGATGACGAGAGGAAACAACTGGGATACACAAAAACGACGAATAAAAATAAAAAAACACACACACACATAAAGTAGGTTAAACAAATAAATAGAGGCGGGGCTATCGGAAAGAGCGAGACACGCAGACACTGTGAGCGGCCCGCTGCTCGGGCGCCACACTTCCATGTCTTCACTCCCCCAAACTTTTTACACACACATATATATATATATTTAACGACGAGAGAGAGAGAGAGAGTATGTGAAATATGAGTCATAGACACGGTCCTTGTTGTAAATACTACCCCTCCCTCCTCCCTGCTTGTTCTGCTTCTTCTTGCGGCTGCCTCCGTAGAAGGCCGGCTCAAGAAGGGAGGAACGGCGCGCTACTTACTTCTTGTCGCCCCGCGTTGGACTCGTGACAACCACCGTTATCTGGTCCCTGTTGCTGCCTTCGCCGCCCGCCTGCCGCTTGATTCGGACGGCCGCCTCCTTCCGTCGCCAGCCCCCGTTGCGCCGCGGCGCAAGCGGGTTCGTTGCCTCGTGTGCCACTCGGGCAGGTTCGGCGGTGTCCGCAGGGCCCGACAGCAACTTTTTGCGCCGCCGCTCGAAGTTCCGCATGGACGCGGCGAGGTCCTTGCCCTCGTACACCATACTCGTCCTTTTTCTGCGCTTCCCGCCGCCTTTCCTCCACAGCAGCTGCATCCGCCGCCTGCCGCCGACGCCGCCCTTGTCGCCGCCTTTGCCCGGCACCCGCGCCTCCGCCGCCTTCGCGCCAGGGGGCCGCACGGAAATGGACGTCGCGTTGAACTCCGTGTTCAGCGTGAGACGCTTCTCCGCCCACGGCAGCAGCAGCGCGACGAGGAGGGCGAGGAGCGGCCAGAGGAGGTTCGAGCAGGAGACGTACCAGAGGTCGTCGACGCCCCAGTAGACGGCCAGGCTGCTCTCGGTGTAGCGCTGCGGCAGCGGCGGGCCCGGTGCGTCTTCGAAGACCGCCGCCACTGCGTACGCCGCCCCCGTGCGGCTGTTCGCAAAGGCGTAGCCTGCGGTGCGGCCACGCGCGGCGTCGGCGAGCAGCCGCTGGGCGAGCCATCCGGGCATCGACACCACCGCCATCACAACGTGCGACTTCTCGCCGGGGCCCGACAGGGCGGCGGACTTCGCCCACAAAAATCGCAGCGTCCCGTCGCCCGGCTTCTGCGCGAGGGCCGAACTCAGCCCGGCGATGACGTCGGCGGCGAAGAGGGACACGTTTTCGCTCACGCCGCCGCCGCCGCCCATGGTGGAGTTGCCGCTTTGGCTAAGCCACAGCTGCATGCTCACCACGTCGTGGGCGGCGTAGAGGCAGTGGGGAGGGAGGTAATCGCCGAGGCAGCCGCACTCGCACCGCGGCTCCGTCCGCGTCACCGCGCCGTTGTTGCAGTTGCAGTCGGGCGACCCCGCCCGCACCCCCGCGGCGAGCTGCAGACACGCGAGCAACGCCAACAGCGGCGAGCCGCCGAGCAGGCAACGCCGCCGGGGGAACATCAACACTCTTGTCGCGTTACTTCCCCTCACCGCGCAGGGAGAGAGAGAAAAACGAAAAAGGAGGAGTGCACATCCGGCACAGCAGCTTGAAAAATGCCTCAGGGAGGCGTTGCTGCCGCGCACCGGCACGCCCTCGCCTCGTGGCGGGGTTGGCGCCCACCACAATGCGGCGGTCGCGCCAACACACACACACACACACACACACAGTCACAGTCACACACACAGACACACGGAGGCAAAAGGAAAAGGGAAGGTTGGCCACCGCCGCCCAGCGCCCCCGCGACGCCGCCCTTCGCTCCTACGCCGTGCCATGGTTCCCTGTCACGCAGGCGGCAAACACGTTGAGGACGCCCAACGAAATCATGTACACGCCCACAACCCACCCACCGAGGCGGTTTCCAAGCAGTAACCCCCCAGTGAAGACGTAAACAAAGGCACGCCCAACGTGTGAGAGGAGGAAGCGGGTGAAGTGCGCCAGGTGGCGGTGCCGCATCGTGCCCACCTCCGCCGCTGGCAGGACCACGGCAATGAGGATAACGTACACGTAGGCGATATACATGCGCACCTCAGTGATTTCGCGCGGGGGAAACCACATGAGCAGGAAGAGCGCAAAGCTTCCACTGCCAAAGGCCCCCGCCACGCCCAGCAGCTGCAGCAAATAGCTGAAGTTCTTCGCCGTCACAATCTCTCTAAATGTTGGCATGCCGCTTCGCCACCTGAAGAGAGCTCCCGCGTGGCCGGTAGGAGTCGTTTAAAGGAATGGAGAAAAAATGTGACAACAAATGAAAGACGGGAGAGGGGAGCCGAAAGCTGGCGCGAGCAGGGGAGACGGAGGAGGCGGAGGCGGAGGCGGAGGAGAAAAAAGGGCACCAGCGCCATCGGTGAGCAGCAGAGAATGTTTGTTTGCTTGTTTGCCTGCTTTTTTTTTTGGCCGTAGGCAGCCCACCTCGCCTCTCTACCGCCCACACACACACACAGAGAGAGAGAGACTAGCGTTGACTACGCAGGGGGAGAGGTGTGTGTGCGTGTGTGCATATTTGTATATACAAGCGCCAAAGGCCACGGAGGCGCTCGTGCGGAGTGACACGCCGCCGTCGCCGCCGTCAGGGCGTCTTCGCCCCCCCGCCGCCGTCGCCGCCGCTGTCGAGAAGCGCGTCCCACGTCGCTGCACGGCCGTCCGCGACTTCTGCCAGCGGCCGCCGCCGCTCCTCCTCCCGTCGCCGCAGTTGTGCCGCCACCGCATCCCCCATCAACTCCTCCGCCCGTGTCTGCCGCACCGTGACGCCCACCAGCTGCTCCTGCTGCCGCCTGCTCTTCTTGAACATGTTGTACTGGTCGTTCAAAAAGGCGGCGAGGCGGGCCTCGCGCTTGCTGAGCCCGCGAAACGAGGGGGAGTAGAGGTACACCGTGACGCGGGTGCCGTCCCACGTCACGTGCGGGTACTTGTCGCTGCCGTAGCAGAAGGCCCAGAAGCGGCCCATGAAAAGGTACGCGTCGCGGTAGGCGGGGAACACAAACTCCCGCTTGATCGCCTCCGCGCCGGTAAAAATAGTCAGCGGCGACGGCCCCTCCGCCTCCGCCTCCGCCGCAGCCGCGTCGTCCGCCGGCACCCACCCCCGCACGCTCCGCATGAAGTCCTCCACCTCGTCTTCCCGCATGCGCCGCTCGTGGCGGGCGTACGACCCGCCGTGCTGCGGGTTGGAGTTGTGGAACACGTTGAAGCCGTAGTCGCCCTTCCGGCGGGAGGACGTCGTGAGGGCGACGGTCGGGGACCCGCCGAGCACCGCGGCGCCGCAGCCGGAGGAGACGCGACGCGGCCACGCGCCCGCGCGCCACGCCGCGGCAGCCACGCGCGCGAGGGCGGCCGGCGACATGCAGAGAAAAAGAAGAAAACGACTGCCGCCACACGCGCTACCCTCGCCCTCTCTCACAACCACGCGTGTGTTTGTGTGTGCGTTCGCTGAAACTGCCTTTGGCACGCCACGGAAGAGGAGGAGGACGCAGGCGTGAGCAACGCCCTCAGCGCCCCTCGCGGCACAAGCGGGCGGGCACGAGGAGTGAGGCACGTCGCCGCGCTGCTCCCACGACCGACATCGTCCCGGCCACGATGGGCTGCAGCGCGGCGCAAAGGCACGGCGAACACCGGCATGGAATAAAACAAAACCAAAAAAAAACACGAGGAGTGCAAGCCCTCAAAGGCATGAATGCAAAAATCGGATGGAAGTAACAATACAAAAACACACAGTCTGGTACATGAATGTATATACGCTCCACTCAGGGCGTTGCACGCGTAGACGCCGCTGCTGGCAACTCCCGCCACCTCAAGGATCTTTTAACGGCGGCAGGACACCACACAACTGCCGCGCCCACGTCTCGCAGTACGAATTTCCGCCCCCCTCCCCAACGAACCACAACGTTTCCGCCTCTTTTAATAGTAGTAGTAGTAGTAGTATTATATTCGTTCCCCTCTCCAGCGTCGGATTGCGGGTGCACTCGACGGGAGCAGCACCCACGCCCGCCGTGCAGCGACGACGACGCCGGTTGCTGACGGAGGATACTTCCCTCCACCGCTCTTCACTGCTTGCGTGGATGCGGCGCCTCAGCAACTGGCGTTGCCGCAGCTGAGGTAACAAACCAACAAAAACAACAAAGTAACCAGCCAGTGAGGGAACGGCACTCAAGAGGGAAGAAATGCATATCACGCCTGAAACTCACAACACACACACACGCACACGCACACACACAAACGCTGAAGCACCATACACGACGCACGCAGATTGGACAGCCAACCAACCAACCAAAAAAGCAAAGATAGAGAACGAGAGAAGCCAAAAAAGGCAAAACAACAACAAAGGAAGGGGCACTTGTCTCGTGCTTGCAGCAGAACGCCTACCTCCCATACAGGCACACCCGCCGAGGAACAAGCACGAATAATTGTCGCCCCTGCAACACCCGCGTCACCTCACTTACTGTGTTGCGAGCAGCAGGCTGCGGAGCTGACGAATGCACGTGCTCGGCGACCCCGACGGCGAGGGTGCGGGAGCAGAACGAAGTCCCCTCTCGCAGATGCCATGCAGCACTGCAGACTCCTTGACCAGCGCCATCTCCCATCGTCGCAGGTCCGTCAAGAGGGCGTAGGCGCGGCGGTGTCGCCGCTGCCTTGCCAACGTCTGCTGAGGCGCGTTTGTGCTGCCTGCGCCGCCGGGGACCGATAGCGAAGAGGCTTCCGCCGAGGGGTACTGCGGCGACGCCGAGGAGAGGGAGGAGCGGCGGAGCGGGCTCGACAAGGAGCTCGCCGCCTCCGTCACGGACGCGGAGGAGGCCGCACGGTGGTGGGGGATGAAGAGCTCCCGCAGGACTCCCCCGCCCCCGGCGGCACTCACGACTTCGTTGTCCTCCTCCTCCTCCGCCCCGCCCTGCAGCCCCAACAGTCTGGCGGACTTCTCAACGAGGAGGCGGTTGAGCTTCCGCAGCTGCCCCGCGTAGCCAAGCCCACTGTCCGCCACCAGCCCCGCGACGTTCGCTTCCACCACCGTGCCAATCACGCGCGTCCGGGAGCAGAGTTGGTCGCATGTGCGGCGCATTTGCCCTACCATGTCCTGCCAGTCTTTTAGCCGCTGACGCGCCTGACGAAACCGCACGGCGTGGGCGGTGTCCTGGCTGCTCAGCTCGGCCCGCGTCTGTGCCAGCTCGTGGCAGGCGCTGTTGAGCGACGCGCGCAGTTCCGCCAGGGCCTTTGCGTTTTCCTCCTCCGCCTCATCTTTGACGTCGCCACCGTCTTGTGCCGCGGCACACGTGTTGGACGGCTGCTCCCGCTGCTCCCGCGCCGCCGCGTCACGTTCGCTGGCAAGCGCCGCACGCGTTTCCTCCAACCTAGACGCGACGAACTCCTCCGTCTCGCGAAGGGCATTCAACTCCTCCTGCAGCTGGTCGCGCTGGTCGAGCAGCCTCAGGTGCCGTGCGTGACACGACGCCATATTCGCACGGTTCGACTGCCGTTGGTGCTCAATCTCCGCCACGTAGCACGCCGCGAGTTTCCTGCGGCTCTCGTATGCCTCCAGGCTGCTGCCTGCGGCACTCGCGGCATCACCTGCCGCAGCCGCCGCTGGCGACGGCGCAGCTGCGGCCTTTCCTTCGCCAACCACCGCACTCCCGTGCAGCATGCGCTCCACCGACCCTATCTCGTCCCTGACACTTGCCATCTCCTCCATATCGCACCTACACAACTGATTCAGCGCCGCAAGCAATTTATGCAGGGCCAACGTCTCCTGCGTCCCCGAGCGTGAGGAGTGGCGGAAGAGCGACTGGGCGCCGGACTCCCGAATCAGTTCCAGACGTTGCTTGTAGGCGGAAAATTGAGCCCGCCTGTGGGCAGGAAATTGCACCTCCTCACCGCAGACGTCAGCGATCCAGCGGTCCAGGACCGTCGCGTCCTCCTCAGTGAATTGCGGCGGCGCAGCATCTGACATGGCTCGAGGCGGCAACGAACACAGCCACACACAGAGAGAGACCTACAGCTCGTGCGGGTGTGGCTCACACATGCACAACAAACTTATTTGGAGGGCCACGTCAGTGGGTGAGGAGAAAAACAAAAAAAAACACAAAAAACAAAACAAAGCGGGGGAAAAAAAAATAGACAGAACAAGAGAAATAGAAAAAGCTAAATAAATAAATAAATAAAGCAGCTCCAACCGGCACCGTTGGGGGGTGAGGCGGCAGGAAAGACGCATGCCGGCGCCCGCCGGGTTGCCGCGCCGCGCTTTTCGTCGCCAGGCCTTATCCGTAAGCGTCACCGTCTCCGCCACGACTTTCAATGGCGCCAGTTTCTTTAGAGTTATGGGGCACGACACGTCAACTTCTTTTTTTCCTTTTTGTTTTGCTTCTTCGGTGCCGCCGGGAAACATTTCT